ACCACCCACCCAACCTACCCTCCTCCCTCCTCCTCCTCCTCCTCCTCCTCCTCCTCCTCCTTCTCCTCCTCCTCCTCCTCCTCCTCCTCCTCCTCCTCCTCCTCCTCCTCCTCCTCCTCGTGTCTGTCAACCTGCACTCCCTTACTCGTGCGCTGCCTGTTTTCTCTTTCTCATTCCACATTCATCACCTGCTGCATTGCAATCTGCGCTCCTCCCATGTTCCACTGGCGGCAATGAACATCGTAGTTGAACTGGAAGGTGAGAAACGTCAGAACAGCAGGGGAACAGCGGCAACAGGAGGAACAGGAGGAGAGGCAACAGGAGGAGCGGGAGGAGAGAGGAAGAGACGTGCAGCAAGATGTGCATGATGAAGAACCAGCAAGGGAGCAGGGAGGGAGGGACGAGGGGAGGGAGAGAATGTGAGGAAAAGGAGGTGGCTGGCGGGAGGGTTGCTGGGTGGGATGGGGAGGAGGGGATACCGTATCGAGGAAGGAGTCAAGTTTGAGTCTTGTCGCCTCGATCTGCTCCTTGCACTGCAACACATCTCATCAATCTTCTCCCCACCTTCTGCTGACCCCGAGCCTTGAGTTCCGTTCCCTCCTCCTATCCGCCCCCTGTGTCGCCCTCCTCCCCCCTCGGTTCAAGCTTCACTTTGTAGCACATCGCTCTTCACGCCTCCTCCTCTTTCCTCCCTCTCTCTATCCCCATTCTCACATGCTTGAGCTGCCGCACGGCATATCGTTGCCTGCGCCGCCTCAGTAACGCACGAGCAGTACAAGAAAGTTCTCACTTAAGGCACATGAATGGGACGGAGAGAAATCTGCGAACCTAGTTGCATCGTGAGGGAGGGGAAGGGAGAGGAAGTCAATTCATGGAGATGAGAAGTGAGGGAGAGAAGTAAGGAGGGTCACTCGGAGAAACCAGTAGGACAGAAGGGGGAGAAGGGGGGGGAGAAAGGAGGCACCTCATCGATACCGAACGAGTCTTTGCTGCACACTTGGATCGCACAGCACTTATCTCTCTGCTCCGTGAGCTCCTCGACCTCCTCTGCCATCAGCGACTGCTTTCTGCTGCCAGGAGTCTCACCTCCTCCGGCAGCTTGTGCTCCTTCCTCTTGTCCGTGAAAGTGACGCAGATAAGGATGGGGATATCAACTTCCACTGTTAACAGCGTGTCATGCCTCTCTTCCTCCTCCTCCTCTCCCCCTCCCCTCTTCAATCTCTTCCTCATCCTCGTTCTCTCCATCCATCTCTTTCTATCCTTGAAATCCTCTTCCTGCTCCTCCTCTTCGAGCCTCTCACCTTCCTCTATGATGCTCTTCACGTAGGCGAGAGATTTGGGGCTCGTCGGGTCGTAGCAAACGATAACTCCGTCACACCTGCGAGGCACGAGCGGTGGTGAGCAAAGAATGAGGGGCAGGAGGAGGTAAGTGCGGGAAGAGAGAGGTACACGCAGAGGACGTGAGGATGAGGTGGAGAGGAGCAAGATAGAGGAGAGGGAGAGAGGAGGAATACATGAGTGAAGAGGAGAGGCGGGGAGGGGAGGGGAGGGGAGGGGAGGGGAGAGGAGAGGAGAGGAGAGGAGAGGAGAGGAGAGGAGAGGAGAGGAGAGGAGAGGAGAGGAGGCAAGGGAGCAGTGATATTTCACCCTCTGTAGACATTGATTGTAGAAGCATCGAGAAGGACGACCTGTTTTCACGATTACACGTGGCAAGACAGGCGCGCTGAGCAATTGCGAGATGAGGAGCAGGAGCAGGAGCAGGAGCAGGAGCAGGAGCAGGAGCAGGAGCAGGAGCAGGAGCAGGAGCAGGAGCAGGAGCAGAGCTGTCTTACATTTTGAATCTCTTTCTCGTTCACATCTCCGGAGCCTGACGTGACCCCGGCAAACACCTCAAGTCGGACAAGTCAGCACGTGCATCAGCAGTGATGTGACTCACTGATTGCGGCTGAATGCCCTTGTCTACTACCTGCAAACAGCTCGTTAGCTCTTCACCCTGCCTCTTCAAGCTCTCTTCTCTCACATCCCAAAACTCCACCTTGACATTCTCATCGGTTTCTAAAGTTTGCACCGTCAAACAGGCAGGAAATTAACATGTCGGTCAAGCAAAACCTGAACAGTTCCATATCATGTGGGCCGTCGTGATCTCTGGAGTAGCGACGTAGTTCGTATCGAACTCCAAACCTTGCAGTCTCCGCAGCAGTTGCGTTTTCCCCGCATGTCGCTGCATCGACAACAAGTGACTCCGCTGTCTCAAACCCTACCCGCCACTGACCTCTCCTCGAATCAGGATCTTCATATTATACTTCACTCCCCTCGCAAGGGCAGCGGAAACTCGCTGATCAAGTTGCCGAACGTCCCTTCCTTCCAGCCCATCCCCTGCACCCGAGCTGCTCTGATTCCCCATCTGCCATGTATCGTGAGGTTCGAAGCTCGTGTCGTTGTTAAGAGAAAAAACATACAGCCAAGAAAAGCTAACTCTGTTCATGTGATGTCGTGAGGACTCGGTTCATACCTCCCACCCTCCCTCTCCTTCCCTCCCTTCCCCCCCTTCCCTCTCCTCCCCTCCCTTCACTGCCTCTCTCCCCCTCCCCTCTCCACTTCTTCTCTGTCAGGCCTCGTACACCGCCTAGTGGCGAAGCTCATAATTGCGTGACATGGCCGAACGTTACTTCATATGTACCATTGTAACGGATAAGATGCCCGGCGGCCTGGGCGGCCGGCGGCGGCCGCGGGGCGCAGGACTCGCCGCGCCGTCACCGTACGGTCCGATCACCGTGCCAGACGGTGGGCCGTCACTCTTTCACAGTCACTCCGATCGCTGCCCCCCCGCGAACTCGGAACTTCGGAACGAGTGCCAGAAACCCTCCGTGAAGCGGACAATTCCGCGTGCGGCGGCTCGCACAGGCCATACGGCGAGAAGAGAAAAGACAGCGAAAACCACTGACTCTTTGAGCTGACCAAAGATCCTGGATCGGACCGGATGCGTCTGGGCCTTGAGCAAAACTTGAAAATTGTCTTGTTGCAACTATGCATTACTTTGGCACAGTGCAAGTCTAACAACTTTCACTTGTGCTCCGTCACCTCTCCGCGCTCTACAAATCCAGGGCGACGCTCGACCCCACCAACGGGGCCCGGGGAGTTCAGCGACCCGCGGCCGCCGGCACCGTGACTCAGTGAACTTGATGATGATATCAGCAGCCCGCCTTTTACACCGCCTGGGTGAAGTGTAAAAGAAACAAAAACTAAAAAAAGACTAGCGAAAGTTCCCGATGGCGTTCATGGCAGGGGCGGCACTCTTGGAGGCGATCGCGAGGAAGGAGAGGGAGGAAAAGGAGGAGAAGAAGTTACATGCAGAAACTGTAGGAGTAAGTGACTCGATGATGAAGAAGTGCAAGGAGGCGATGGACACGATTCAAGCAGCACTGAGACTCTATGAGCCAAAAGAAATGGCGATAAGCTTCAATGGCGGTAAAGATGCTACGGTTCTGCTGCACTTGGTGATGGCAGGGATCGCAAGCATGAACGAGAGATGGGAGAGCATGGAAGAGCTGGCGTGTGTGTACTTCGAAGATGAAGAATGCTTCGAAGAGGTGGAGGAGTTCATACGGCAATGCCAGGAACAGTTTCACCTTCGCATCATTCGACTGAAAACTGGATACAAAGATGGGTGAATCCGACTTGTTTTCTCAAGGTCTTGTCTTGACATGACTTCTTGTCCACGCCATAGCTGCGCGCACATGATCGACAACTTCGGAACGAAAGCTTTCTTCCTCGGGACTCGCAAATCGGATCCGTGAGTGCAAGAATCGATATCCCATGAGGCTGGCAACTTGTTCTTGCTTCTGAGTCGTTCTTGCTTCTGAGTTGTTCTTGCTTCTGAGTTGTTCTTGCTTCTGAGTTGTTCTTGCTTCTGAGTTGTTCTTGCTTCTGAGTTGTTCATCTTCATCCTGTTGTCTCCTCTACTCGTGTCTCCTTGCCTCTCTTCTGTGAAACTTGTTTCGCTCTCCTGCCACTTTGCCATTACTCTTCTGACGTCGAGCCAGCCATGGACACACGGTGGAGAAATTTTCCCCGAGTGAGTCTAGCGAGACCTTCTCGCCTCCCTCCATGGCTGACAGGAGACGCAGGCACCGCAGGATGGCCCTCCTTCATGCGGATTCATCCCATCCTCTACTGGCACTACGCAGACATCTGGAGTTTTCTTCTGCAGTTCAGCATCCCATACTGCAAGCTCTATGACTGGTGCGGGGAGGGGGAGAGACGGCATGATCGGAGACTGACAGGAGCTGTTGATGAAGCGGCTACACCTCCCTCGGGGGCAAGCACAACACCGACAAGAACCACATGCTGAGGCAGCGGGACGGGAGCTACCTGCCTGCCCACCAGCTCCAGCTCCTCGAGTGAGTCCTCCGCTGCTCCAGGGATGCGCCTGACTGGTCTCGCTCCCCCTTGTGTCTCCTTGCGCTACAGGTCCGAGCAACATATGGAGCGACATGCGCGCAAGGAGACGGCGGGGACGAGCACAGTGACGAGAAGAGGAGCGTCGCACTTCAAGCCATGCTCAGTCGCGCTGATCACAATAGGAAATGAAGTTTTGACGGGAAAGATACAGGTGGGTCTATCCTCCTCCTCCTGTTCCTGCTCCACTCCCACCTTCGCCTTTTGATGTCTGCTCCTTTACCTTGTTTCCGTATTTTCGTTTGATTGACTCCTCTTGTCTTCTTACCCTCATGCCTCTTACATCTCCTTCATCCTCTTCCTCGTATCCTCCTCCTCTCCTCTCCCCCAGGACTCGAATACCAGCTGTGCCTGCAAGTACCTCCACGGCCTCGGCATCTCAGTAGCACGAGTGAGCATCTGGACGAGCTTGTCTGATCGTTCTCACGTCTCCCTGACAGGTCCTCGTCATCCCCGATGAGATTCAACTGATAGCAGACGCTGTGAGGGAGTACAGGTGCTTGTTCACATCAGCTCCCCTCCTCGTCCTCCTCGTCCTCCTCGTCCTCCTCCTCACCTTGTTTAACAAGCAGCTCTCACCACATGGCTGTGATCACGATGGGAGGTGCGTCTAAGACGACTTGCTGCTCCTGCTTGACATGTCGAAGGTATCGGACCAACTCACGACGATCTGACGCTGGAGGCTGTTGGACAAGGTTGACCAGTTGAGAGTATGGAGGCGGAGTTGAAGGACAAGAGGCGGCAGTTGTACTAGCAGTCGTGATAGTGTTGATGAGAGGCAGGAGGAGGAGGAGGAGGAGGAGGACGAGGACGAGGAAGCGCATGAGGAGGAGGAGGAGGAGGAGGATGAAGAGGACGAGGAAGCTCATGAGGAGGAGGAGGAGGAGGAGGATGAAGAGGACGAGGAAGCGCATGAGGAGGAGGAGGAGGGCAGTGCATTCCTTTGGATTGTATTGAACAAGTTTGTCACGCGAGCCTTCAGGTCTCGGAGTTGAAATGGCTGAGAGCGATGAGATGCAGAGACTTCTTGCCAACCTGAAGGTGAACAGCACCAACGGAGAGAACAGCTGCCGCTGCCGCTGCCGCTGCCGCTGCCGCTTTGTGTTCAGTTTTCCTCATCCTGGAAGCAGGCTGAATTCAACAAGGAGGACCAACAGCAGTCGCAAGGGAGCAGGCACGACAAACTCCACCGTCTCCTCCCTGCTACGCTTGAAAACGCACCTCACCCCTCAACCTTCTTCTCTCTTCCTCCCCTCTCCTCACTATCTTCCCCAGTCTCGCAGCATCTCCTTCCTCTCTCGTCCTAGCCGTCTCTTCCCTCCACTGTTCTTCTCTCTGCTCCATCTTTTCTAACTCAGCGCAGGTCGCCATGGGACACCTGTAAGATGTGCAGTCTGCCGAAGGGGACGGAGCTGCTGCTGGAGGAGGGGAAGAAATATCCCCTGCTGCGATGCCGCAACGTGTACATGCTCCCAGGCATGAGAGGAGCGAGCTTCACGCGCGCTGATGGCGATGGCAGGTGTACCGCAGTTCATGCGGCAGCAACTTGCGCATGCCGGGCAGATGGTGACGAGAGGAGGGAGGAGAAGATGAATGAGAGGGAGGGAGGAAGTCGGGGGAGGGGAGCAAGGGGAGGAGTGAATCGCTTCCCACAGATCAAGCAGTCAATGCAATGCGCTGGCCGGCAGTTTCATGCGAAACAAGTGAGATGATGCTGAGGACGACGAGGAGTTGGAGATGTTTTGACAAGGATTCTTCAGATCCGTTGCACTCTTGACGAGCCAAGGCTAACCGACCTGCTGGGGGAAGTGGCAGAGGTGCTGGGAGGAAAGGAGGAGGAAACGTGGGAGGGCGGAATTGAAGCGGGGGTGCGGAATGGATGGGGAGGAGAAGGGGAAGGAAGGGGAGGGGGAAGGGGAGGGGAAGGGGGGGGGGGGGGGAAGGAGGAGGAGGAGGCCGTTGACACCAGAAGCAGAAGTTTGCGGGACTCGTGGAGATAGGGTCCTATCCTTACTTCGACAACTCTCCTTACAAGACGATTGTGGTGCTGGAAGGAGAGGAGGAGGAGGAGGTCGACAAAAGTTTGCGCATGCTGCTCGATAAGATCCCAACCGAGGTGACTTTCCTTCCCATCCCATCAACTTCTTTGATTCTTATCCCTCTGTCCCTGTCCCTGTCCCTGTCCCTTCCTCTGTGTCTGCCTGCCTGTCTTCTTTCCTTTTCAACTTCTTCTTTGCTTATCCTTCTCTGACTGTCCACCAGACCATCACAGCTATAGAGCAGCACGGGTCCCTTCCCGTCCAGTCATGCTTGTAACTTCCAGTCTCTTCATACTTTACACAAAAATCTGCTCCTGCTCCTCCTGCTCCCCCTCCTCTTCACGCTTTTGTTGTCCTTGGCGTCATCAGTACCCGCGCAAGGAGCTTCCCCAGGCTCCCCAGCGCCGCCATGGGCTCGTCCGGTGCCTCCTTTATGCTGCTGCTCGCCGGCATGCTGCGCGTCTCAGCTCGTCGAGGCACGCGGATCCTCGTGAGGCCCTGCTGCTCCATGAAGGCAGGCAGCTTGGTATCTTCCGCCTCCCAGCTCTCCATCTCCAGCAAGAAGTCTCCGGTCGAGAACCTGGACGGAGCAGCATGCCTGATCTTGGGAGGGCAGGAGCGCGGTCCCTTCGCTTGCTCCTCCTGCTCTTCCTGCTGCTTCCCGCCTCGAGGAAACAGTTCTACATCCGCCAGCTCCATCATCGACTGCGACAGCACTTCGTGCGTCTCCTCGTGCTCAGCTTTCAGGTGAGGAGGATGGATGTTGGTGGAGCTGCTAGAGGCCTCACTGGTGGTCGGGGAGAGCTTGTTCGTCCTGTCCCCTCCTGCTCCTCTGCGCTCGCACGGTCAGGACGGTCAAGGGCCCGCAAGGTCTTCACCTCGCACTCTTCAGCGTCTCGTAGAACTCGTGCCTTGCCTTGTGCAGCAAGTTGATCTCCTCTGTCACTTTCGACTTCTTCCGTCGGACAGCATCGATCTGTTGCAAGACAAGTCAGAAATCGTCTCTTGCTCCTCCCACACACTACACACCTTGGCCTTGACATCGTCGAGCAAGACTGCGAGTTTCGGGTAGCGATCGAGAGTGAGGCGAGCGGGCAGTTGACTCATAGCCTTGCTGGAGCTCTGCTCAGAGTTTGCAGGTCGTCGGAGTGTTGGAGGCTCTAGTGAGATGTTCTGTTGATGTTGATGTTGATGAGGAGGAGGATACGACGAAAATTTGCTGATGCCCAATGGAGCATCCTCGACGAACTCTGGAAGAGCCATATTCAAGATGTGATATGTCCTTCCGTAAGATACAAGTTTCAGCTCGAGCTCTCTGTCCTGGCGGAGCAGACTAGCAGCAAGAGACGTCAGAATGTTGACAACACTACAAGGCAATAGAAGGGGACAAAAGCAAGTCACAACAAGGTGGGTCAATACCTCAGCAGCTTCTCGTTGGGTTGTGTATCATCTCTGACTATCCGATCCTCTCTCTGTCGCTCGTTGGCAGCGATTAGCTCGCTCATGCTATCGTCCATACTCGACGTTCTCGTACCATCCACATCGATACCATCCCAGGTTTGGTTGTGCACGACTGGACCGAGCACCAGCCCAGCATCGTTGACTTGTTGAAAACTCTCCTCCTCGTCGATTTGTAGGTCTATGACCTCAAGGTTGACGAAGACAGGAGACGGCTGTCCCGTGCACTCATGGAACAACCTTGATTCGATGGCAAGAGACTCGTTATCCAGATTCTTTGAGCTAGAAAGCGGCCCTGTTAAGCGAGCTGGAAGACTCTGTCTCACTGGAGTTGAAGTTTGTTCAGGACTAGAGATCTCTGCCTGGTCGGCGAGCTCAGTCGGATAGTTTCTGCGGCAAACAACTTCGAGCTGGGATTCGTCGCTCGGTCGAGAGTGCAGGGCCTGAGGAGTATCTCGGTCAGGCAGGAAGAGAAGCTGCTGGTCGCGTCTCTCTCCTGCCTTGAGGATCATTCTCTCCTCATACACTGTGCTCCTGCTCATGACTCCCTGCCCATCTCCCCCGATCAGATCGGCTGTGATCACCACGGTTTCGCCATACCGCGCCATTAGGCAGTGCGGCAGTGAAGAAAACAGGGGTGATGGGGTACGGTGGTACGTAAGGAACACCAGATGGGGTGATCAACTACCGGTACTTATAACCTTAAAGAACCATGATATTAGCTGGGGTGGGTGCTGATTACGGGGGTGGGGTTGATCGGTTGAGGGTCAAGACGGGGATCTGGTAGCGATTCCGATGCCCGAGCCGGTTGAGTACCTTTTTAAAACTTATTAAAGCATCTGTACTGAAAATGTTTGTACCATGGAAGTCTTTCTGTATACGGTCGGGCACAAAAGGTTCCTCTAGGTGGTCATAGTTGGAGGTAGGACCAGTCGCTAGTATTTCTTAATTTGCCTATCAACTGGTACAAAAGACACCTTTTAAAATACTTGTAGTTTTGATAACGATTCTCCTCAAAGTTGACATGTTTGATTCGGCAGCGGCATATCAACGGTGACAGTACCCCTCCTTTTCTGGGGCTATTGACCCCTACTTAATACCCGCAGACCGCTAGAATTGCCTTCCGGGACCCCTACTTCGACTACCCATAGACCGAACCCCCTCCCCACCCCCCCTCTTAACCGGTCACGGAGTTCGGAACTCGGGCGGCGCCGTCACTCAGGAGTCGGAGGCTTCGGGGATCAGCCCGGCTGAGCGGGCCCGGACCTTCCGGGCCGCTGCCAGCTGCCGGCACACCGTTGAATTAGCCAAACTTTGAAACACTCGGCAGTTCAAGGCATTAGGTAATCTTACACGGGATGAAACAAAAAACTCTAAGTCAGGGAGAGAAGAAGAACACGGGGAGAGAAAGTCACGACTATGGAGGGAGCCTGGGTTTCGTCTGTCGCCTACAGCACGAACCTTTCTCCAGTCAGCACAGGTGTCGACACCTTGGGCAGCATGTGAATCGTCTGCTTGCCCTGGTTTGGCACTCCGTTCCTTCCTGCCGTCGTCCCTGCCTGAACACCGGGCCTGACGCGAGGGACGCGGGGCTCGGGGAGGTCGCCAGTGACGAGCGCATCCGGGGAGGAGGTCTTGGTAGGAGCACCGGCAGGAGTGTAGAGCTGCGTCCCTCCGAACTCGAAGATGGAGGAGAGGGAGGACTCGGGGATGTGGACGTGGGTGTCGACGACGCGGCGAGACTGGCGGGAGCGAGGAGGAGCGTTCCACGTCCGGATGTTGCATCCTATCTGCATCTCCTTAGCGAACCTCACGAATTCCAGCCAGTTGTGCTCCGAGTCCATCATATGCTCCCCCAGCCGCAGGTACGTGAAAGACGCGATGCTCCCACTCCGATGCGCGCACTGCCTGATGATCTGCTCGAAGCCCTGCCGGTCGAAGCGGGGGAGAGCGTTCTCTCCTGCGTACAGGCAGCCTGCACGATCCGCCGCCCTCCTCGTGTGCTCCACGAGGTCGACAGGGGCAGAGCGGGCCCAGTCCGGCAGGTCCTCGTTCTTCATCTCAAGGCACGTGAAGTCGAACATCACCCGATGCTTCGCAAACATCTCAGCGATGGGTTTGTAGCCGTCGCGCTTGCAAGTGTTGAAGTATCCAGCCGTCAGCTCCGGCGCATGGCTCTTAGTCTTGCTGCCCCAGTGGATCCCTGCAACCTTGGCAGCCAGGAGGATGTTGGTGCTCTTGAACGCCCTCCTTGCTCGCGCAAGAACCTTGTCCCCATGCCGAAGCAGCGAGTTGGAGTACCATTCGAGGAAGAACGCACCGGCCTCAGTCTGCCACAGCCCGTCGTCCTTGAAGAATTCCGTATGCTCCGAGGAGTAGTTGTAGTTGCCGACCTGATCCGCATGCGGGGGCCAGGTAAGCCCCCACTCGGGCTTCTTAGCACGCACGGCTGCTCTGATCAGATCTCTCCTCATGTACTTGTCGTAGCACTGGAACTGACCGACGCCGGGGAAGTTCCAGAAGGCGAGGGGGTAGGAGGGGTAGCGCAACTCTCCTGCAGGCCCGAGGCCGATCTGAGCCTCGATGACAACGTTGGGGATGAAGTGAGCAAAGGTGGTGGCGAAGCTGTGCATGAAGTCCTCGTACATGTCCAGAGGCGATCGCCCATAGAAGATCTTCTCCTCATCTGCTCCAAGTGAGACGTACTCCCGATTGCGGTTCAGGGACATGTCAGTGTAAAAGATGTTGGGATTGAAGTCTCCGATCTCCAGCACCCATTTGGGCAGGGGGATGAAGCAGGCGTCTCCGATGTTCCCTCCGCACTGATGAAAGCTCATCACAGCCTGTAGCTTCATCCGCAGCTCCGCAACCATCTTCACCAGCTCCATGTACGCAGACCAGTCGTACTTGCCTGGTCCATCTCGCTCTACGATCCCCCACCAAACGTCGACCATAACTCCTTGTACGCCTGCTCTCTGCAGCCGCATGAGGTCTCGCCGCAGGACCTCTGGCTCCCTGAGGAAACTTTTTCCCCCTTCCTCATGCACAGTGTCCAAGGGCAGCATGACAAAGAGAGGAACGGGTTTGAACTGCTGCACCGTCGTGGGGACAGGGACCGGGGCCCTGTGAGTAAGGCCCTTTCGCTCCTTCTGTGCGAGGTAAACCTTCTTCTTGCCTTCAACATAACTTGATGCGATGAAAGCTATCAGTGCAGCCTTCCACAGGGCTCGCACCAAGTTCATCTTGCTGCTCATGTCTCCACTACAAGTTCGCTGAAGGGTTCAAGTGTTTCTGTGCAATCTTCAAGGAGCCCTTCAAATCAGCGTGGAATGTTCGCAGTCCATCAACCTTCACGTCAAGATATATCCAAGTCTGCGGAACGCGTCACACTCATACATGCTTCTGATCTTGTTCTCTACTGACCTAGTAATCCTCTTGTACTTCTCCACCTTGAATACTTTGATGCTCCTGCTGACTCCCAAAGTGTTCACCGTCGTCCTTGGAACGTGTTCGAGCTGAACCAGGAGCACCGAGGAGCAAAGCACACTGGCGAGCTGTTGATGAGAGTCAGTGAGCCGAAACAAACCAATCCATGATGGGTGCAACAGAAAGGGAGCAAGAGAACGACACGAAGCAACAATGAGGATGAAAGAATGAAACCATAGGTTGTCTTTGAGGACCACAAACAAGCACGATGTTCAGGGTGAATAAAAACTTGTTCCAGAGGCAGAAGAAAAGAATTTCGCCCCGAAGGGTGGGCAGCGAACAAAGTTGGACCAACTAGTTGAGTTCAGAGGAAACTCGAAAACCGATGAAAAATTAGGTGGCGGTGATGGTGGTCGTGTTAGGAGGAGGAAGTTGGTGATGCTGATATTCAAGATGACAAGGAGGACGGTCAACGCAACAGGAGGAGCAGGAGCAGGAGGACGCCCTTCCAGTTTCCTCCGCCCTCTTCTCCCTGCTTAAAAGGGGGCGCCCCCTTTTAAACAAGCCTGCGTATCTTCAAGGATACGTGTGACGCGCTCAAGCTGTAAATCACCCCTCCGATCAGACCACCACCTCTGTCATGGTTGGCCCCCTAGTCACAATACCCGTACTTTCCTCAATAGAAACAACCCCTTCTTGTGTACCCTACCCTACCGAATTCGATGATCTGGCCGCTGGGTGGGCGGGCACTTCAGTGACTCAACTCAGTGCGGATGAAAAATAAGTTGGCCGCACCGCCGTACGTACGGCGGGCCGGCGAGGGCCGGCCTACCGCCGGTGACCGGACCGTACGGTTAGCACGGTACGGTAGCTGCCACCTGGTGACCGTCGGCGGCGGGCCCGGGCCCGCGGGGGAGGAGCAGGAGTTGTCGCAGGGGAACGCGGTCATCCTGTATGGCCTCTTCCTCGAAGGAGCCTCGTGGTCCCAGCGAGAGAGCGGCAGGCTCGTCGACCCTCCAGCTCGCACCCAGCTCAGCGACTTCCCTCGCCTCCTCCTCTCCGTCTTCCGCGAAGTCTCCACCAGCGATCCCAGCGCCGACCCCAGCTCGCACGCGGGGATCCGAGACACCCACGGTGTCATCTACATGTGCCCCTGCTACACCGGGCTGAGAAGGAGCAGGGAAAGCCTCCTCTTCATGGTTCCCATCTACACCGAAGAGCCTGCCATGGTCGCCCGTTGGACCCTCCGAAAGGTCGCGCTCGTGGCGAACAAGTTTTAATCCGCCCGTTAGCCTTAAACTTCTACTGCT